TTGCCATCAAATGTACCTCACTTGTTGTAGTGTGTTCTTGATGGGGGTGTGCTCCCTGGGCAAGTGTCTATCAATCGGTAGTTGGCTTCTGACTTCAAACTACTATAACCCCACTGCAAGTTATATTCGACTACTTCCATAGTTCTCACCTCACCTTTATTCAACCTTTGTGTCTCTCTTTTTTATATCTTTGAAACACTCTTCTGCCCCCCCCCCTCCCACCCTCTGTGAAACCTGAAGTCAACTAAAGGGCTAATGATAACTATCAAAACGCCTGCCATTGGATATAAATGAACAAATGTATAGATACTTCACCTTTTCAATACTTCACTTCATACTTCTAGCTGAGCACAAGATTATGGGCGCAAAGTGTTATGATGAAGTCACTGCAGTTTCACTTTATCGATACATTGATGTAAGCTGTAAGCCGGTTAGTTGTTAGGCGAGCAAAACAAATGTTAATCGCTTATCTATGGCCAAAATACTTTCACCTGTTTTGAGAACCACTTGACAAACCGCATTCTGAAAGGTCGACCCTAGACAAATTGACAACCAGTTCGAAATAGTCTGTATATTGACTGGAAAACTAAGACACTTTTCTCAAGTTCAAGATCTTAGAGATGAGATTCTGGACTCTAAACCGTTAGATCTTGATGCGATTCAAGACCTCTTTCTGGAACTGAGGCGGAGTAAGGTTTTTCTAATTCCATGAGCTTACCCCGCTTATCGCTCCAATTCCCTCTCAAAATCATACTGCCTTTCCATTTATGTGTTTGAATTTGAAGGAAATAAACGTTCTTGTTCCTGTATGGAAAATAAAATGAGATACAAAGGTCGATGTGATTTGAACGAACTAGTAAGGTTAATTCCAGAACCCTAGGCACCTCAGGACGAACGGAAGTTTGCAACATTCATGCATCCTCTCTTCTACTACATTTTTGAAAGAGATGTGGCTGTCTTTATTGATATTTTCAACTGCAACTTTGACAAAAATATTTATTTCTCCGTCAAAATCTGGTCAAAATAATTCCCTTTATTTTTCTACTGAAGTATCATTTCATAATCACACATAGCCTTTTAAATTAAAAAAACGAAGAGGGCCTATTCTACAATTAACTAGCTTCATAAGTTTGGAACCAAAAACGTAAATTCTGCCATGTCATGTCATTCGGATGGGAGATTGGTGGGTAAATAAAACCTAAATCACCTCAGTTCCGTGAACAGCTGTGTATCATAATTAATTAGCTGTCCTTATTCTAAACCAAGGTATTTCAAGTCATTATAAGGATACTATTTACAAAAAACGTAATACTCACAACAAAAATAGTTGCCGATTGAATTGATACTAATTTTCCATTTTTATTATCAACATCTTTTAATTATCCTTTATTCGAACGAAACTCTTTTAAGCATTTGCCTTAAACCAGTAAAAAAGACCGGAATATTATTTTGATTGATGCATTTTGTTTTGAAATTGTTGGTTTTCTCGATTTAGATTTTTAAATAATGCGACCGAAATGCTAAGAAAAGGAAACTTTTGCAAATCCCTAAACAGATAGTCTCAAAGAGCAAATACAGAAATTATTGTTTTCTGAATACAACAAAATCAAGAAAGCGTAATAACGGATTTTTCTAGTCAAAGCAAAACTTCGCGTGATTAGAAAGGAATCAGCCTTCAAATAAAGACATGAGTAAAAAACCAGTATAAGGACTCTTTAAAATAATTTAAAATGCAATGCATATTTCGTATAACTTTCGAGTACGAATGACCAACCTTTATTTACTACTTACTAAATAACGAGTATTCGTGTTAAAATTACCTAACTGAAGTTAAAAATGAATTACCTGTGAAAATATTGCTGATAAATGATACCGAGGGTTTTTTTTCATCTCATTACCTCAAAATGAATAATTTAAATATGGAGTTTACATAAGATACTGATAATATCAAGATTAACAACACAAATGGTAAAAATCTTTCCCATTTGAAAAATACGTAATCTATTGCTCTAATGCTGTGTCTAAAGTTTGCTACCCATAAGAATAATATTATTCCAGAAGCAAACCCATCTTTCAAATGACATTTACTTTAAGCTTATTCGATTTCCTTTTATTCACATTACTGTTGAGAATGGTTTATAATGCAAATAAACCTATCAAACCGAAAAGCTCAGCATGCCTTGGCGTGGCGGTTTGAGTCATTTTGCAATGAGGTGATATCGGGTTTCATTTGTTTTTCGTGGGATTTCTTATGAAATCTAGGATTCGGTTGCGTACGCACCAGAGAAAGCAGAATATAACAAGGATTCTTTATTGTTACATTATAATAATAAATTAGAAATCACATAACAAACTTATTACGAGGAAGCTTGAAGAGAATATGAATAACCATTTTTAACTCTAAACATTCTTGCCAATAATCAATATTGGTATGTGTGAGAGGGTAAAGAAAGATAAAGGCAATGAATTAAATTTTAATCAACGAAGTAACTGGTTAATTTATGAAGGAATGTTTAAGTGTAGGCCCGGTAACATTTAGTGATCAGGTTCGGAAATGTAGGAGCACTTGAAAGAACACGACAAAGGTTGCACAATTTATGATCATTTGTTTGCAATGTCATTGAGAAAAAAATGGAGGTCTCGTTTTTCAGTTCATTCTTGAGAGGTCGAAGTCATTATAGCATTACTTTCCCTTTTCCCTGATTCTCCTCAACTACTACACATATAATCATATACGGCATATTTAGTCGGACATAAAAATGATGAGTAAAGAAGTTGAAACATGTACCGCTTTCATTTATAAATAGCAAATATAAAAAATTAATTCAATCAACTGCACCCGCACATTTACAAGGGTCCAACCCTGCTATTTTTATAATAATAATAACGTTTATTGTAAATATCATGATATTTTAATTTGCTGTTCATGAATTCATGATGATATTGAGTCACACGGTAAAGTCGGCTGAAAAATGCTGCATTATGGGAAGTTATCTAAATGGGGGAGATATCTAAAAGAGATCAATTCGATTACATTCATTAAGCCATGTTTAAGCTATTTTAGAAATCTGAATTCAAATATGTTAATAATTTCAGCAAGTATATTTTTTAGGCAATTAATACTTCTTGTTTGGTCGCGTAATATGGTAAAATGATAAAATTTAACTCAATAATTAATTTATTCTGTATTAATTTAATAAAATTTAAATAATGCTTCAACCATTAATGTATAAAAGCAAATATGAAATAGGGATTGCACGGAAAAGTATCTTGTTACTTGTTTTACAAATTAAAGAATAAGTGGATGAAATCTTCAAGGACATGTGGCGATAATTTAGACAAGAGAATCTCAAAGGTACTACCTCCTTAAAATTATTTAAAAGTATAAAATAAATGTGACAATAAATACTGCCAACAATATAATGACTTCCATGTTATAGACAAAACAAATGTCTTCGACCAGAAATTTGGCCAGTCTTGCAACTAGCAAGACACACTACAAAGTTCTCATAACTGGTGGGGGCACTGGAGGATGTTCTGTAGCTGCTAAACTTCGTGGCGTCATTCCAAATGGTGAAATTGGAGTTATTGAACCTGAGGAGGTCCGTTTTAATATATATTTATATAGTGCATTAATTTTGTCGTTTCATTTGGGTGAGGTTTTATTTGAGGTATCAAATTAATTAATCTAGCTACACCGTATACAGTATTTCCATTTTCAATAGTAAAATCATGCTTCATTTCGCTTGAATTCGGTAGGTTTTGTGATAGTCGGTGTCCCTTCTTGGATTTAAAGCCTATTTACTTAAATTAAGGGACCTATATCATTATGCATCTTAATTTTTCTGTGATATTTTAACTTTCTGCAATGAAATTAAAAGTTAAATTTCACATTTTTATTTACCCGGATGGTTCTTTTGTGAGCGATTGATCACGCATTATTCATATTGTAAAATGGTAATGACATTTTAAATAATATTTTGAGAACCTTTTAATTTTTCATGCGGATACGTTATGGTATTCTCTTATCTTGTCAGCAGCAAATACTTTTCCTCATTGTTCTTTGACTGGTATTTTTATTTAAGAAGTATTAATCTTGACCCTTCAATTAAATTTCCTCGAATGTTTAAGATGTTAGAATTGTGTTGCATGATATTTTGCAGAGGTGAGTCAAATGAACATTTTAAGTTGGTAGAGCTTCGGGAGCGTTCTTCTGCATGCATAACCGAGGAAATTGCAAGCATTTTTGCAAAATTATTTAAATATTTTGGTCCTTTAATATGTAATTTGCTTCTTTAAATAAAACTGTGGCAATAAAATGATCCGATTCTTTGTAAAGTCGTGATTCAAAGAGCAATGTGATATAAAAAGATATTGCCTTTCCAATTAATTAACTGGGTCGGGAGTAATGCTATGCCTATTGTTTTTATATTGACAGAGTTATATATGCCACCTTTAAAAAGAGAATAGAGAAGATTTACTGACCTATCCTGTAGTGGGTGTTTTAGAGATCGATTTCCTAGTCCAACGAAAGTGTGTTAATTTAGAATTTGCCATTGTGCGTTATGGCTTTCCATATCGATGGTATTAAGTAATCATTCGCTATTAACTCCAGTATTGTGAAAATTTCGCGGTTTTTTAATAGTAAAAATTGACTGAAAGGAAGTCTAACAGAAGGTATTGGATGTTTGCATAATTTTTGCTTAATGGGCGTTCCTTAATTCATGGTTTGCAACAGGTGTTTATTTATGATGTCAAGGGCTTATTAATTGGTGCTATTTAATCAAGAATGGTTGATCCTTGGCGCCTAAATTGGTTTTCTTCAATGACTGATGATGCAAATAATCTTAGTTGATATTCCTCAGCCCATAGTTTGAGATATAATATACCATACACGATACTAAACTGCATAATTCAAAAACAGGAGTTTCTGATGCAATCATGGAGTTATGGGAGCTTTGAGTTTACCTCTAATCCCACTGGTTATAATTCATTTGGAAGTATCTTAATGTAATCCCAATATCATTACACAAAGTTGTACAAAATATGCAATAACTGTGGTTCGATCTCGTGCCTTCTGGCCAATTCCATGCTCACGTTACTCAAGGTTAGACAACTCGCAATCATTTGTAATTGCTTACAGTCGTTGGTAAGTAGATGACACATAAATGAAGATTATGTAATAAATATTACATCTAAATGTAATCCCGCTTCAAGGCGTTATGTGGCTGTCATTAGGTAATATATCGATGTTGAAAGAGCAAAAAAGATTAAAAAATTTTAGGCATATTTTGCGGTGAATTATTCATTCATTAATTTTTCAAATTTTGCTGCCTTTAAAAGATATAACTATACCATGTTTATCACATAAATGAATTTTAACTTTTTTAATTACCTACTGCTAATCAATTTTTTATAATCGGATTAATTGAATGCGATTCGTTGAAATTTTCACTTTAATGTTTAATCTCTTATGTCAAATGGCCTTCTGGATTTACGTAGATCTACTCGAAGATTGCAAATGCTTTTTTTAATTTTTGCAGGCCATTGCCAATCAAAGAGAAGATTATTTTTCAATAGGCATCTATTCCAAATCCAATTATAACAGCTGAGTTTCTTAGATTTCAATCTTAAAGCCTGTTGTGAAAGTAAAGACTGTTGTCAATTGAGTGTTACTTCCACTCTAGGTGTTGTGGGTGTTTAGGATAAAATGAATTTATATTTTTTTTCTTCATACACCAAAGTGTCCTTGAACTTTTTTCCTCAAGTGATCAAAAGCTCAGGTTGGATTAAATTTAAACGAGATATCGGTGGGAGTTCCAATACATCTTCTGCTGACTTCTTACTTGTTAATTTTTGTCATGTGTGTTTCAGACAATGTGGAGCACATCGGACTTCATGGAATTTGACTTCTTTTAGTGCAAATAGTGGAGACCTCAATGATTCTAGAACATGCCGAATTTCTTTCTCTACTCATTTTTTTTCAAACATCGCACAGCCGCTTTACTTTTTCGCTTGTTTAAATGCTCTTCCAAAATAAAATGATTTCATATTGCCATGGTAGTTAGTATGATAGATTCATGAATGAGATCGATATGCGATATTCTAATCAAAAATAATTTAACTGCTTTAAAGACATAACTACAGCTATTGTTGACTGAGGATCTTTTTCTAGCTAATTTCAATTGAAGAATAACGTTGGTCATTAAAACATTAATTGATTAGCACGCTTTAAGTATGTTTTTTCCACTAATCTAATAACCGCTTTAGATAAACAAGTTTATCGTCACTGTGTTACATAATTAATTATCATTTTATACTCTCATGGGATTTTTAGCACCAATAAATCATCATCGGTAAATAAAACTTATAAGTTCATTTTAGGACCTGTAACTCTTAACCTCTACTTGAATTTTGAGTAACAAATATCCAGCCTCATAGAGAACACGTCTTAACATGACCGTATTTTTGTATGCTTTGTCAATTTCTATTATTTAGTTCATTCACACTCAAGTCATTAGTCTCATGTGAGCAGACACTGAGAACCTAGACATTGCACGGTCCATATTCAATTGCAGTCCTAGGAAAATGACCTTTAATCGATTCATGCACCTAATTGCATCTCACGGGAGATTGTTCATGCTTTCAAAGTATTTATTTATATCAAATGGCAGGCATTTTAATAGTTATCATTAGCCCTTTAGTTGACTTCAGGCTTCACAGAGGGGAAGGAACATCAAAGTGGAAAAAAGTCGAGAGGGGGAGGGGGGAACAGAAGAGTGATTCAAAGATGTTAAAGAGACAGACACAAAGGTAGAAAAAGGTGAGGTGAGTACCGTAAAGTAGTCGAATATGACATACAGTGGGGTGATGGTGGTTTGGAGTCAAAAGTCAACTGCCGGTTAATAGACTTTTTTGCCGTATGAGTATACGTTGCCCAGGGTGCACCACAAGGAGGTTAGTCTTTCACACACCCCGCTTTCAAAGTATGGTTCTTTCTGAACTCAGCAGATGTAAATTTTGAGCCTTTGCAACACTAACCTATTAAATTTTCTCCACATCAGAACTCTGGGGGATCCAATCGACTAGTCAAGCATTCTGTCACAGTCTGTATTCTATTAATTGGATGACATCCACCGAGTGGACCATCTAGTGGTTAGGAATTCCACCAAAACACAGTCGTTTGTTTATTAACCTTCTAGACGTATTTAAGCTATCTTTCATAGTCTTAATTTGAGAATATTGGGGTCTGAGGGGGGGGGGGAGAGGGGTAGCGGTCCAACTAACAGAGATTTTACGGCAAGTGACTCAAGTCGCCTGATGGCACTTCAGAATAAGAAACAATGATTAAGTATCTTGACAAATTATCACAATACTACGTTATTTTATACCAAGTCAAAAGTAATATATATATATATATATATCTAATGTTCCCCCTTTAGCACCATTACTACCAAGGAGCGTGGACTTTAGTTGGAGCCGGAATAAAGAAGCTTCAAGACACGCGAATTCCTATGTTGAAGGCTATTCCTGGCAATGCGGAATGGATCAAGGATAGAGTCGCTTCTTACGACCCATCGAATAATAAAGTCACCACAGTCGATGGTAAGCAGGTAAGAAGTTGTGAGTTTCGGAATTTTTGGAGCAATTCTTCCTTATTGGTAATCATGCAAATGTCAAAAGAAAAAAATTAGAAGTTATAATAATTAATTTCAACCTGGAAACAGGAAATGAGCAAACTCTAGGTCCAGTGGGGGAAAGAGGTGAAGAGGGCGTTGTAGTTGTCAGCGTACCAACGAGGCGTAGTCTCGTGTACTTTCCAAAAAGAATGGTTCCAAAGCCCAATTTCTGGCTTATTCGAACTTTGACCAGTTGATTTCAGTTCAATGACCTGTTACGACACTTTAATTCCTACGCATCTGATGAGATCATTGCACAGGTAGTTGAAGTCAGTAGTGCCTTTCCTGTTTATCAACTAAAATGGCATCAAAACAAAGAAAATTTGTCCCTCAAATGATGCCTCTGTACCGATGATTCATGCACTATCAATTCCAGTAATTAATAGAACACAGAGTTAATTTACCTTTTAAATTACTTCCCCGAATTCTGCGATTGCATTGTCCTCTGAACAACCAATCTACTACAAACGAAAACAGATGATTAAGAAGTGGTACGTTTTTCAATAGTTCGGAAAAAAAAATTAAATATCGTGCAATATTTAATTGGATCAACTCCAAAATCCACTCATGGAAAAGAAGGTTACTTTGAGTCGATCTTTATGGAGTCAGAATTGAAGTTTGACCTCTTCTAATCAACGCCGATAAATTCTTCTGGTGTCTGAAAGCACAGCTTAAACTCCTCACTTGGATATCATCGTTGCTTATGCGTAAAAATGTTGCATGTGCATTTTTGCATACCATTTCATTCCTAATGCGCGTTAATGCAGAGTGAGTATAAATTAAGTACATTGAGTACCCGCTCCACCCCACCCCCCCTCCACTCCACTCCACTCCACTAAAAAGGCTGTTATTATGGCGGTTTGTTCAACTTTTTTTTTCACTTTATTAATGCTGCCAATGCTCGACGTGGTCCAATTGTCATAAGACAAGAGCTCGTGCGCATTCATGTACTCAAGATTTAGAACAATTTGTTGATTGGGGGGTGAGAGTTGATTTGAGTGAAAGATTTCACATGATAACCGCCTATTCACGTAAAGACTTAAACCTTTTTTATGACCTGAATTTTACGGTGAATGCAAAGTTTTTGCACAGTTTCATTGACAAGGAGTTGGGGGGGGGGGGGGTGGAGGTGGAATTATAAACTGTGAACTTAAAGACAAAGGCCTAGTTTTTGCAATAATTGTCGAGTAGAAAGATAACGCAGACAACTTTTTTGAGAATGGTCTTATTTTTGCTAATATAATTCACGTGGTAGCGTAGTAAGTGCCAGTTAGATGGTAGTATGATCAATTGATTTTGCAAATACCGGTGAATACTAAGATAAGTTCTATCACTTCGAAAGTAGCCAACTGACAAAATTAAATTGCTCAAACTCTTCTTTAAGGCGTATTATCCAGTATGGGGGGGGGAATATTTTAACTCGTGCTTTCTGATGGTGTAGAGGCTTGAAGGTAATGAAACCCCTCTGTCATAATATAAGTTATATGCATCTTACAACAATCCAAAAATAAACAAATTTGCGATGAACGTGTTAGTGGTTTGCTACCAATCAGGTGACTTTCAAACAGTTTATATTTATTTATATCAAATGGCAGGCTTTATGATAGTTATCATTAGCCCTTTAGTTGACTTCAGGCTCCACAGAGGGGAAGGAACATCAGAGTGAAAAAAAGTCGAGAATGAGGGGAGGAACAGAAGAGTGTTTCAAAGATGTAAAAGGGAGAGACGTAAAGGTAGAAAAAAGTTGAGGCGAGAAATGTGGAAGTAGTCAAATATGACACAGTGGGGTCATGGT